GATTAGCCCGCCGCACCGGGGGGCGTGGTTACGTTTCCCCCATTCGTCTTAGACTGTGACTCTACACCGTTTTTGCCTCCCCCCCATCCTCCCCCTCCTCCTCTTTACACCCCTCTATGTCTGCCTGTTAGTCTGTCTGCTTTCATACTTCTAGACGGCTTCAGCAGCGGCTTCTTCCTGGGCTGTATCGTGATGCTGCCTTTCATCATAGTTACCATCGTAGTGGCAATCCTGTATCGCAAGAAGTTGGCCCAAAAGGCCTGGGTTGCGGGCGGTCTATCAACGCCTCCACCGGATACGATTAAACTACTTGACAGCAATCAGCCGAGATATGATGCGTAGAAGCACACGCAATATACCCTCCACCCTACTCCCCCCCGTCCCCCTTCATTTTACCATCAATGGCATAGACTACGTGCGCGCTCTAACCCATTTAAGTTGCCAACTCTGTACGCAGTGCTAACAAAAGCCATCTTCCTCACCTGCTCATGCGCATTGAAAAACCGTTCTACCATCCCGTCGTGAAAGCGCCGCCTAACACCTACTCTATGTGTGTTACCTTGAAAACAAGCTCCAACGGACTAACGATGGCGTTATTTGTCATTCGAAACCAAAACTACTGTTTGTAAAAGGTCTACATATAAATCTTTTCATCTTTTTAACCTTGGGGAAGACTGTGGGATGCAAACATAGAAGGAGAGACGCACGCTGGAATATAATCCATTTTTGAGTGGCCTACATCGAAGGCTGGCACATTTACCAAAACCACGGCTGTCTTCGGGGAACAGTAACGGCGAACTGATAAGAACGGATTTCAGACACTCTCAGGCGTGCTCAACCTTCTCACATTATTGAACCAGATCACATTTCGATGGAGCGCTGACATAATGACAATGAATGATCAACGTCAACGAAGGTGACATTGCTAGGGGGTGCTCCTTGTCGAAGGGAGGAAAAGAAATAACGACAGTCTCTGCAGAAGGAGAAGAAGAACAAATGCCCTGGATTAAATTTGAGCTATCCAGGGAAATTGCGCTGAAATGGCTATTTCCTATACTATCTCTCAGACCGGGGCCAATTGATCTTGCCGAACAGTCAGGCATACTTTGCAGTGGAATCCACCCTCCAGTAACCGCCCATGCCTCAAAACACCCAAAGACCAAGAGAAGTCGCCCCCTCCCCCATATGCCGTTGAAGGTGCTTGCACTTTTCCAACCAGTTGTGCCACCATCTTCTTCGCAGTCGTCATAATCTCTACGGAGTCAGGAGACACAAGACGGTCGACGAAATGCACATCCCTTCACATCGTGGCAACAACGTATAATCATGCATGGGCCTTATCGGAAGGCTAACGCCCTTCAACATCCAACTGTCTGCGCACCTTCGAGCATCGTAGTATCCGAACTGACTAAACGTGTTCACCCATCCATCCAGGTCGAGCGGAACGTCGTCAAGCCTGACGAGTAGAATATAGGCAGGCAGGTCAAGTGGCCATGAGGGAGCGAACAAAAAGATAGTTCACCGATTGGCAGACATTTAGTTCCGATTTTTACACATGTTCAGTTCAACCGTCAGTTTCGACTAGGTCGGCCGTATGTTCCGTGGTGCAGGGACGGGGGCCCGCGCTGGATTATAGTGAGAGCAGACTTGCGCTGCACCCTCCCTCACTTGGGCCCAGTGTTAAGACAGAGTCAAGAAGACCGAAGAAAGGGAAAGGTTGCAGGCCCACGCGTTGGAGATCACCACAAACAAGAAAACAACAGCATAGGAGGGGGCGGCAGCTCGGATCCCAGCTGAGTGATAGTATCATAAAGGCCACATTAAGAAGGAACCAGTGCAGCCCAACTCCCGGTCCGCAAGTCAGCCATTCTGCGCAACACAACACACACATACTGGGCTGATCACGTGAACTGAGTTAGCTCGCCTGTTAGCAACCTTCCA